TGTGCACATATGATTTGCATAAAACGTGACCACATATGCACATATATTCACATCACATATTCCCGGCCACTCTAATCGCCATCAAAAATTTCACCCCACGTGACTTACCATATGATCGACCAATCAGATGACTACTGATTTTTATATGTAATAAGAATAAATATATATCAAAATAAGCATTACAATATATAAAATATTCAAAAATCTTTAACTATATTATACGTATAATGAAATGCATCAAAATGGGTTAGAAAGTAGAAAAGATAAATAGACGTGTTGTTACTAGTATAAAGATCTAAAGAATTTTTTCAATATTTAATTTGGTAAATAAAATTTAAGTTGAAACCAAATCTATACTAAAATTTAATAATCAAAATGTGCCATAATAAATTATAAAACTTTTTTATATAGGAATATTAGAATTTTTGTATTATAGCTTTGTTACTTAAATATATTTAAAATCTATTTGAGTAGATTCTAAATTTGATAAAATTCAATCGCTATTTTGATAATATATGTATAATATAAAAATTGCATCAAATAAATTTAATTTAATAAACAAATGAATACAATAAGCAAATCAGAAAGCATATATTAAAGATTGTTATTAGATTAAGCAAGTCAAATGAATATTTTAAAATATAAATTATCTATAATTAGAATTCATTTGATATACTTGTATTTTTTCTTAGATATAAAATGCATTCTAATAGAACCCTTTTTATATTCTTTTGTTGTAACCATAGATGCAGACTTATGACATCACCTAGTTACGTCCTATATAAAAAATCGGTTTATAAAATAAACCGCAATTGAGCCGTAACTAATGACGTAAATAAGTCTGCATCTATAGTTGTAACTACAATTTGCATATAATACATTAATATTTTATGTAAATTTAGAGATTCAAAAATTATTTTATGATTTAAAGTTCAGAATACATATGAATTAATATATAAGCAGTACTTACCTATAAATTCTTAATTGAAATATAAAGTATTATGTGTATAATCTTTAAATGTTCGTGGTATTGTTTTTCTTCATTTATATGTTATAATTTTAGAATTCATTTGTTTTATAGATTTGAAATTTTTTTTTACATTTTTTATTTACAATAAATTTTTTTTGTCCCGTTGATTCTCAAGAATACTAAGTGTATTTTTTGTTAAGCTAATTAGATGGTTATATAATTCATTACATTTAAGTCAAATTTTTATTCAAGCAAGAACTTATATAGAGTATAAATTTAGTAAAATCATCAAAAAATTATTTAAGTAGTATATATACATTGGACAATATATATGCTACAGCATTTACAACTAATTTTTAAAAATTTAAGAAATCAAATTTCCACTACAGGTTAAGCAAGAAGTTATACAAGGTAAAAATTTAGTAAAATTATCAATAATATTATTTATCTGAATAGTACATATACATTGAACAGTACATGCTGCAGCAGTTACAAATTCAACAGGATTCAAATCTTTACCAAGATTAGATAAACATAAAATATCATTTGTAATATCTAGACATGCTTGAGGAACATTAAAAGTAATTGAAGTTGGAGGTTTTTTTACTGGAGTGGTTTTTTGTGGCGCTACAATTGGAGCTGATTTTGGTGTTGTTACTACAGGTTTTGGTGGTGTTACTACAGGTTTTGGTGATGTTACAACAGGTTTTGATGGCGCTACTTGTGGGTTTGGACAGGTAAGTGCGCCACATTGTGCACAAGAATCGCGATAACCATATTCACAAACTCCACCAGAAGGATTACATTCGTATACATGAGTATGATTACATCCTAAAATATTATTAATTGTTAATAATATTATTATTGCTATAAGATAATTTTCAAAATTACCTATCATATTAGGAGCACCACCACAGTATTGTCCTTGCGGAAGACTATTTGGAGGTTGAGGGCACTTACAAGCAGTATTTGGATTACAAGTACATTTATTATTTACACATAATTCAGGTGGATTGCAAGCAGCAAATACTAATGAATACTTTAAAAAAAATAATAATAATAAAATACTAAAACAATAGTACTTCTGCAAAAACACTAAAAAAATCATTTAATAATATTAGATTTAAAAAATATAAAATTTATTTAAAAAAAATTAAATAGTATAGTGCGCGACACTTAAAGACTACACAAACTTTAAAAGCCAATAACTTTTGATCTAAAAAAGATATTTTAAAAAG